TTACACGATGATGAACTGTTAAAAGTTGCGCATTTACATCCATCCATATACGTACACTGAAATGACTTCGATGGAACTGCTAATCAACATATTACTTCATGCAAAACCTGGATAATAGGTAAAATACCTGGATAACAAGATGATCCAGCACCAACTTTCGTTTCGCTCTCTCCACAATTTCCTCTTCAACGGATGCTTTTGTTACCAAACGGTAGATGTTCACCTCAAAACCACTATTTTATACCCGTCTAACGAATTGAATCGACAATAAATCATAAAACATCAATAATGATTAACTCGTAACTCAAGCTCAGTTAATCGCTAAACCNATTAGGTAAAATACCTGGATAACAAGATGATCCAGCACCAACTTTCGTTTCGCTCTCTCCACAATTTCCTCTTCAACCGATGCTTTCGTTACCAAACGGTAGATGTTCACCTCAAAACAACCATTTTATACCCGTCTAACGAATCGAATCGACAACAAATCATAAATCATATATGACGGACGATTAACTCGTAACTCAAGCTCAGTTAATCGCTAAACCCACTTAAATTAGCAATCCTCCTCGTATTCGTGCGAGTAAATGCCTCACACACATCTTTCCAAGCCTCTTCTCGGCACAACAGAACTGCTTATGACTCGGATGGATAAACCAAATTCAATCTTTTAACTCAAATCAAATCTGCCTCAAGGTGCGCTAACCTGTTTCTTCTGCCCAATACGATGTGCTCTGCTCATCGCTTGCAGATCATTTTGTGGATTCCAATCCGAATCGAATATTATCACCGTATCGGCTGTAGCCAAGTTAATGCCCAATCCACCGGCACGAGTCGATAAAAGAAAGCAAAAATCCGATGATCCGGGCGCATTGAAATGATCCAATGCGGCTTTACGTAAATCCGCTCGCATTGAACCGTCAAGACGCTAAAATTCATCGATAAAACCTCCATAGAACTGTTGAATTTTCCCCACTGACAGTCGAAAAACCTCTTCCCCANAGCATCATCACCATCTGTGAGAATATCAACACTCGATGACCAGTCTCGTGCAAACGACACAACAATTTATCCAACAGAATCAGTTTACCGGATGATTTGAGTAATTGCTAAAATTTATGCAATACTTATGTTTCTACGTGACTAATACGATAATATATCAGCTATTTTCATTTACGAACTTTTCTTCACCAAATGAAATTCTCCAATCTGAAACGTAAATTATAATTTTCCACTTCCATCAATCTTAATCACAAATTCATAATTGGTCTATCAATTGTTCGTTCACACCAGATTTCATCTCCATTCTATTTTATCTTTTATCTTCTTGACGAAGAAATAATTTCTGACCGAAAAACATACCTGCAATCTGGCTTGAGCGTTGTCCTCATAATAATCGTATGCACGAACCAACGACGCATGATTACAACATTTCTTCAGTTCCATTATCAAATTGACGAATCCGTTGATGGAACCTTTGACACCTTTTGATAACTCTTTGTAATTCTTTGTGAGAATCCATTTGTAGAATTGTTTCTGCTGGATGGTCATATCGACACGAAGAATTTGTTCGACCTGAATGAACATCACAAAAATTTTCGTTACAACTTCATTTGCACTAAACAGAACAATATTATGACAACAAGAAAATCACAACCAATTGAATTTTGATCAGAAAATTCGAATATCTTTCAAATGTTTCCAACAAAATATGCCCAATTACTTTCTAAAAATCGCTCGTAAGCTCGTAAAGCTCCAATAAATGACCCCTTCGCATATTCAAAGTGTTCAAAATTTTGAGATTATCTTAAACATAACTGACTGTGAGAGAAAAGTTTGCACGAAAATTAGAAAACTTTTGCGGCAGAAAACAATTTCCGAATATATTTCCAAACATAAATACATCCGAACAAATATAATCGCTACCTTCGCGGGCAATGATTTTTCGACATCTTTTTTGACTCGTCTCAACAGAAATGGTTCAAGTTTCCTGTGTAGCGATGCAATCGCTCGATGATCTGGATTGTGATGATCCCGTTCGAAGTCTTCCCATGATTCGAACCTGCAGATAATTTCCTCCCGTCAAAAACGAGGGAACAACGCAAAAACAAGAAATACAATGTCCGAATGAACACATTTCGAGTGTTTCGAACTTTTATCATAATTTTATCGCGTTCTCTATTTGCATTAAACTTGCATTGGCTTGGCTTTGTTTCATATAAAATTGGCTGTTCAAATCAGGTTGGAGACCTCTAATCTAATGCTGACTATTGAACGACAAATCAGTGAGAATCGAATTTAATTGTAAGATTAGAATTTCGTGAAGATGTGCACGGAAACACGAGCATTGTGGCCAGCAATTTTACAAACTTTTGATAACCTGGCCAATCCAGGTAATCCAGGTAACCATAACTTGCAGCACTCAATACCTTCTCTTATAACTTGATAGCACATTCCACTGAACTGAATTTCTCAATAGGTGATCACATCCCATTATGATTTATGCCTATCTACCTATCACCAATATCACATTGCTAGTATCCATTTGCAGTATGTTTCTTTTTGGACAGTCATATCGATACTGCTGTACCCACTCCTAGCATCCATCTTTCCATACTGCTCAAGAAATCAACGACAAAATCA